ATACAAGGCCCAGATAAGGCCTAGCTTCGAGTATTTATGCTCGATGCTGTCCAGAGGACTGATTGATGACTTTTCTCTAACAGATAGTCTCGGGTCGTTGGCGTCAGAGCTCTCTTCCATAATGCCGTCGCGCTATGTGCCTTCCAGACAGACCCGCCTGACTTTGGCCTCACATCCTAACCATGTTAAACTTCGTACATCCAGAACTGGCCGATACGACCGCTCCGCCCGAGGGTGTCGAAATTGTGGAATAATCTACAAGAGGAAGCTTTTCCCAGTTCTACTAATCTTAAGCAGTTCAAAAATCGGATTAACAAAATGTCCAGCCGCGGTGTCTCGGCATTTAGGCTTCTGCCTGCGCGGCTGCTTCGGTATAGAAAAAACTTTCAAGTTCTTTCAAAAAATCTGTACTTTTTGCTCCTTTTTTACTGTCATGGCTATAAAGAACTACTAACTTATGATTTTTTTCCTGATCAACCATTAATAGTGGGATGAGACAAGGGAGTATTTATTTCATTGAAAACGAGCACCGTATGCTAAAAAAAAAATAATTATTACATTTTGTTTCAATGTGAAAATCTTTACTAAAGTTTGACTAATTACTGTGAAAAAAAATGTAACAGACTGAATCGGCAAATGCTCTTAAGAACTAGCCTATTTAATGATCTTTTAAAAATAGTATAACATTTGTAGGTTCTTTCTACTAAAAATTGAATAATTTCAAGTTTTGTCATCGAAGTCATAATACTTGCGAAATACTAGAAATAAAAAATAAGTGCAGCCGTCTTTCGTTTCCAAATCACTAAGGAATGGAACGACCTAAACATGCCAGTGACTATCTCGCTCTCACATTCGCTGTTCGGTCGGTAGAATTGTGTCACCACGAGGAACTTTTAGCATACCGTGCTAGTTTTCAATGAAATTAATACTACTGATGGCAGCCTAGGAAAAAAATCATAAGTTAAAGGTTCTTTATAGCCATAACAGGCGAAAAGGAGCAAAAAGTAGTGATTTTTTTGAAAAAACTTAGTGGCAATATCTCGAAAACTAGGCAACTTTTACTAAGGTCATGTTGATTTTATCTGATTGAGCTAAAGCCAATCTACCTCCCGTGATACTCTGGCGTGTTATTTCTGGGACACCCTGCATATTAGGGGGTTATTGAAATACTGCCATTCACTATTAATACCGACCTTACACTAATAATGACAAGGAGAGATTGATCTTAAAATTGTGTCAGAATTAGAGTTATTGGTACTGGGTGCATTTCCGTGTGTCCCAAGACTGATTTAATTCAAATAATCTTGTTAGTTATAAAGTTTTGCTATTGTTTTTGTACTTCGTGTTTTGCAAAATGTCAGTCTTTTTGGTATGAATTTTGCGAGTAAAGAGCCATGATTTTTACAAATTAAACTTACAATCAGCGAACAGTACAAAGTAATAGCGAGAAAATGAGAAAGGACACTACTCTCCGTGTATAATTTCTTTTATCTGCAAAAATAACTATAAAAATTAAGGTTATTCGCACAAAAAAGAAGAAAAGTCTTGGCTGAGCCACGATTTTAAGCGCCCCGTAATAGTGGCAGGCACTAACTTTATTAATTTCAAGTCTTATTTTTGTTCTACTGCGCCTGCCCAGATGTCAAATACGACCAGGAATTCATTGCGCCTGACTTTACTGGACCTTCAATAACTCCCTATTTTACATTTTACTGTGCTGATTTTATCGTTTCATTTAAATTGGACGTAACCTACGGCATCATCACCGTACGATTCCCTTGCTGATGTGTAAGGAGAAATATAATATTAGGTAAAGTTATCCAAAGGTTATGACGAATGAGCTTAGTTTTGAATGACTTCTGAAAAGGAGCATTATTTAAGTGTATTACTTATTCTTCCTTTTGCCCATCATTATATCAGATCCACTTTACTTACTTAATAGTCTAGCTCTAGATGTTCCATCAGCCCAGTAAAGCAGAATTCAAAAAAATTACCAACCATAAATATGTCAATTTTCGACAAATTTATGCTTTCTGCTTTTATGATTCAATCGTCCACGATTGTTTTTTCAATAAAACGAGAAAACGATAACTTTTTACGTTGATTAGGACTTTTTTAGAGATATTTAAAGAAGAGAACGTTAGTCCACGAGTGACACATAGATGACGTTTCTTTGTTTACAATTTGTATGACGCCACATCATGGCCGATAGTATTTTCACCGTTTCATATTAAAAATATTTTTTTTTAAATGGACATATATATATATATATATATCCACCTCGCGCTTATATAAATCGGTATATTTCGTTTTCCTAAGGCAAATACTGTAAGAAATACTCATTTATTCTAGGAAATTAGATATGAGCCAAATAGCCTATTGCATGCTGCAATAGTTTCGTATCAGAAATTGGTAATTATAACAAAAAAAAAAAGAAAGGGCGAACCATGAATGATTTCCAGTAACGAAGTACCGATTACGGTACTGAAATCATGAACTTTCATAAAATCTACAAGCACATACAGGGTCAGATTTTTGTGTGCAGTCGAAACAGGCACATTAGATTTTTACGATGGCAAGAGATATATCACCGATTGTGGTAATTTGGTTGGACGAAGCGTTTAATTGTATTACAGACTTCACGGCGATGCCTTTTTCATGGAGGTAGCGAAGGAATATAGCATATTTTTTGTTGATCAGCAAACTCCCTGTATATGATATCCGATTCCTTAAAGTCATTTCAATTTATAGCACAGCTTATTGGAGCAATATATATGTTGTACGACATACTCGAAAATAGAATGCGTTGCAAAGATCCTTCCTTTTGTTTGGTGCCAATTAAATAATTATAGTTTGATTCTGAAACAAATATACTGTAGGCAGTGTCTAGCAAATGCAGAAGACTTACCAACACTACACAAAAAAACAAGTCTGTTAGACTAGGAATCGATGCGAAGTTTTAGTGGTGTTAAAATATCCATGTCAAGTGAAACATTAGTTAGATTAGTACATAAATAATAGTCGACCAGAATGCAGACTATCCTGAGGACTCTGCTCGTCTGAGCTCTCCTCCATGGTGGCATCACGTTTTTGGTCTGGCCGACCCACTTGACAGGCTTCTGATTCTCATTATTAGCATGAATATAGGGGATATTTGGTCAAGAAGAATAACTTATTTTGTTTTTGTTTATGCATATCCATTATGCCAAAAAACTAGGATAACTGATACATATTTGACAGGGTCCGGTAATAGCTTGATTTAGGCAGGTTTATAGGTACCAGGGCAAAATGTGTGGCCAGGTCATGACATCTGAACTATGAAGAAGATACTTTAAACATGATACAAATACAATTAGCTAATTACATTCGATAGTTCTTTATTAAAAAATCAAGTATTTCAATCTGTCTTAATATAAGAGAATAATATAGGACAGCTCACACAGCTTCAAGGTAATTGGTGTTTGGAATCTAAAATTTTTTGTGATCGCGGGTCGGAGCCGTTGTTTTCATTGTTTTTAATATTTTCTACTGTAAAAAAAGACAAAAAGCAGAAGGAAGAAAAAGAAGAGAATACCAAACAACTGACATGAAAACTTCCATAGAAGTGACGTAAGGTAATGACAAAAACGTACATGACCTCTAAAAAAAAGAAACTGTTATATTATTGTCTGTGATTGATGAGTTTTCAAGAACCATTGTTTTTCACAAAGTTGCAGTAATGCACCACTGAAATTCACAAAGATATACTCAACAGGTTAAATACTGAAAAAACTGAAAAAGGGCTTATGCCGACACTAGGTGAGCAACTGACGCGTTCCTGGTTTCAGTAGACCAAGTCGCGCTAGCTTCAAACTATCTTAACTTGCTACCCATTGATGAAGGTCAAATTGCAAAATTGTCGTATTTACACGAAAATATGCAATATGAATTGCGCAAGGTTAGGGTGACTTAATTTTCAGGAACTGCTAAAAACATGTTTTTATGCCTTCATACAAATATTTTCGTGTCTCTTTTCATGAAAATTATGTGTATCTAGCAATACAAAGAGTTCATATATTGTTATTACAGTTACAGAGATTTTTTGATGTTTGTAATGAAAGCCGGGAATGGAGCAATATATATTTTGTTAATTTTCAAGAATATCGTGCCTAAGTCTTGACAGTTACCTTAATTTCATCATATATTCCAAATAAAGCATCATTTTTTACAATGTACAGAGTCGCTTTATTTTTTTGGCAGAACATTTAAATCCCAAATACTGTATATTCACCCATAACTCTTATTGTTTATAAACTACACTAAACAGCCTGGTCCTAGTTATCTTAACTACTATAAGCAGGTCATTTCAAAGAATGGTAGCCATACAAAAATATGCCTGTAGAATTAAAATTGGTAATTAACCAATTCATTAAGTACACTTTACTGCCCACTCATAGATAAAAGGTATTAAAGGTCATTTTGTCTGCCTTCACTATATCTACTGAACCAAATAGCGCAATATAAAAGTTGGGATTTCCATCACACTTAATAGTGTTTTCCACTGGTATGCATTTTTCCACTGTTTACCCACTTTTTTTATTAGTGTTCTGGTGGACACTAGTCCATTTTTGTCTGTCATTTTGTGTTCCACTGGGCAAAATGTTTTACACTAGGTGCATGATCAAGTATAGCATCATAATATTGAAATGATTCCCATTTTGGACCATTACTCCAAGTTCTACAGGCGCAACATTCAAACAAATTGTAAAAGAACTGACAGGTAATCAGAATATACTAATTTTGCTCCCACACAATGGTACTGTTCAGGATATTTTCCTACACATATAGTGGCACTGCAAACAACACTTCATTACTGAAATGCCAGAGCAGAAAACTATGGCTTGTCAGAGTCTAGGCAACCATTAACAAGTTTTGAAGTTTCCTTCATGGTTTTGACAAGGATGAATTTTATGTTTTTAATGCATACTCAAATGAAATCAACATGCAGAAAGGGTACCTACCTTTCCTTGCATAATCAGTCTAATAGTGATTGTGACATTGGAGTCATCGTTAAAAGATTTTTGGTCCATTGTACTGTCCATTCAGTGGTGGAGCTTGAAAAAATGGAAAACTGCTGGGATAGGCAGGGCGAGAGACAGATAAAGAAGGGGAAGAAGTGTTGATGGTGCTGGTACTTGATAGGGTCCAATCTGGAACAAAAAGAAAAACTGTTATACAAAACCTTTTGATTAATACACAGGGTGTTCCAGGAGATGGTTACAATTTATAGAAAGATAAAATAAAAAAAAATATTACCACAAATTCTTATAAAAAATTGATTTTTTACTAATCAAAAAGATTATCAGAAACAAAAAAAATTATGATTTTTATCAACCCTGAAAAATATATCAAGCCTGAAAAAATCACAAGTATTTTTCTTGGGGCTAGTCAGCTTCTTCTGGCAATCTGAATGATTTAACTGTTTTCCATGTAAGCCCTATTATCTGGAAGCTACTAGAAGCTGTTACAAGAAATCTATGCAAGTAACCAGAAAGTATGAATATTAAAAAGAATTGCCTATACTTTTTTTCCAGTAATAAAGTGTGTACCTACTCTTAAATGCATTTATTAGAGATTTCAGGTTTGTTAATACAGTAATTGGTGAATGCATATGGGATCTAGCCATGTAAATTCCACCTATATAGCATAGCAGAGTGAACAGAATTTGTCATTCAAGCAAGATATGGAAAACTAAACTGTAGATCCAAACTCCATATCATGGGTACTTAGCAGCAAGTTGGTGTTGCCATTTATACCCTCTACAATGCTCCAGCTGTGTAATTCTCATAATAATAAAAAACTGGTATATTTGAAACACAACTTCAACAGACAGCTGGCTGGTAACAATCTCCCAGTAGTTGATTCTTGTAATAGATGGCACTTTGTGCTGACTTATTTCAATAGACCATATATCCTCGATAAAGGATACTTGCTCAGCTTTCCTTCATTGTGTTACCCAAGACCAAGCCTAGACCATGCTCATGAGTATTCTGTAAGATCGAGGTTATATTTACAAAATTTGCATACAAAACAACAACAAAGAAATGTAGTTCCCAAACAGTGAACAGTGCCAAGATAAAAGTATAAAGTAGATACAATGCTTAAAAAATATTGAATCAATATATTATTTACAAGAATACTTGGAAATTAGAACCAAGGCCTATTATCATGTAGTAAAGATCATAGTAAAAAGACAGTTGAAAAACTTTCTTCTCCATCTTAGGCTTGGGCGCAATTATTGAGAAAATGAAATTTTCTAAGTAGGTATTGATCGACCAGCCAAAGATTGCTAGGGACGAAAGGGGGAAATGCGATGAAAAAACCTTACCATTAGACGATTTTATATGGAGTCATAGGCGGAGATCGGAGAGACTTGAATTATTAATTGAATTTATATTTTATTACAACTGGTAGTATTAATATTTTTTTGCGATTCATAATGACGTGATACCAAACATACATTATAAGAAATAAATATACACAAACACTGAATATTGAGAACAAAATAAATATATTTTTTAGGCAACAAGTAATATTCCTATGTACGCATTATGATTGAACAGCAAAACAAATTATGCATTCTTCTAAAATAGAATACAACAAGTCAAAAATATCTGACTGAATAGAAAAATATAGGAAAACAAAAAGTAATTTCTTGATGAAATAACCCATAAACAACACATAGAATTAGACTTTCTACTGAGATACTAAAAGCCACAAACCAATAGTATAATAAATGAATATCTAAAAATTCTAAAAGGTAGCCAATCTAGTATAGTTTCAATCCTGATTAGAGTCATGATCACTGTCTGAGGAACTGTCATTGCTATCACTTTCACCTCCTATGTTGATTATTATTTCTTCCTGTATTTCTTGAATGAGACTGTCTTTTTCCCAATATTCATCTTCAATTTTTATAACATGTCCAATAACCTTTTGCCAGTCACTGGCACTTACTGAAGCGATGGCCTTATTAGAAATTTCATCTAGTTTTTTTATAGTAAATTCGCCGCTTGTATTATGGCTTCTAATGAAAAATTTTACTTGTGCCCAAATCATCTCTATGGGATTAAACTGACACATATAGGGTGGCGTTCGAAGTGGGGTGTGTCCGAAACTTCTTATTAAATTATCTATCTTATAATTTTTCTCATCAGATGGTGGCCTATGTAGACAAGCTATTTCATAAAGCTCCATTTTTTTAGCATTAGGATCATGCTCTATACCTTTTTTGCTCAACCACGTGATGATGTCTCTTTTTAGAGAAGATCTAGTTGGAGGCTTGTCTTCCAAAGCTGAATGGTAAGGTGCATTATCCATTATTATAATACTATTAGGAGGAATGTTAGGAAATAGTTTTTCAGTAAGCCACTTCGTGAAATTTTCTTGGTTCATTTGACCGTGATAATCACCAGTGGCACAGCCAGCCTTGAAAATGAGACAGGCTCCAGGAACAAAACCATCTTGCGAACCCGCATGAACAATTATAAGTCGTCCTGGAAATGAATAAATAGCCTCATTTTAGTGTTATTTTAAGTTTGCCAACACCTTTTTGAATCACTATGTATAAAAAACATATTTTTGAGAAAAAAATACTTGCAAGGGATTATGTATTCAATTAGACAAATTAAATGAGCACTTATTAAGAATATTCCAAAATTGAGAAAAATGTATAATAAGCAAAATCGAGGTGAAAGAAACTTTATTACCTGTAGAACTTATATTGCTCAGGACACCCATAATTTCTTCGCTTTGCCAGCATTTCTTGAAAGTGAGGTCATTATCAACCCAAGTTTCGTCCAAATAAATAATATGCCTTCCTTCTTCCCGGAACTTTTTAATAGACCTAAGATACTTGTATCGCCAATGTAAAATACTGGGTCTTTCCATTAGTAATTTCCTTTTGTTGTGGCATTTACGCCAGTAAAATCCTTTTGCTTTTAAAAGCAGCCTCAACGATTCTTTACCAAATGGAAATTCCATTTCTTCCTTCAGTTTGATTAGAAGTTTACTACAAGTAGGTACCACTTTAAAATCACAGTAAAATTTTTCTATCATTCTCCGAATAATGGAAAAATCGACTCCATCAATTTTTTGGATCACAGAAGGGCGTGATCTCTTTTTTCCGGGAGAAGCTAAAGGCTGTGTGGAGGTTGCATTTTGCCTGTCTTTATCTTCTTTTCTAATTTTACTTATAGTTCGTTCACTAACACCCGTATAATATGCCGCCCTTGCATTTCTAGCTACCAGTGGATAAACGAAAGTATTGTTAGCCGCTTCTGCATCGCAAGCACGTATCACGTTTGCTATTATTTCCCTTGCCTGGCTGTGAATAACTTTCCCATGCTTGAATTCCATTATCACCACTAAACAGTAAATTATATTTTCAAAGTATTTGCCAACTGCCTACGCCTATGGGAGTAGGTTTATAAATGACCGTGCCATCGGCACGTTATTCTAGTTTCAGATAAGATAAGAGTTTTGGACCAATCAGCGACCGGATGTTTACCTGCGGCCTGGGTTTTCCAGCTACATTGCCAAATTCAGCGGAACAATTCTATATCTTAAATATGTTAATATGTATGGACCGCATTTTATGTAGAACATCTGACAACTTCGCAATTTTTTGTCCGCATTCTTTCGGCTTGCAATCTTTCGCTGGTCCAACAGTAGATAGACTCTCTTTGAACTACAAACACAAATGTAACATCAGACGTTTTTTGTAAGTAAAAAATATATATACGACTTGTGCGTATATCGAGGATAATGAACTTGTGGGAAAAGCGCAAATAAAGCACGCTATGCACTCTTAATTGGTATGCAAAACAAAAAAAATGCCGCGGCTCCTATAGGTTACTTGATGCAGTCCGCTCTAAAAATAGAGACGCAATCAAGCCAAAGGATTCCGAAAACAACCACTGTATTAATCACCATTGTTAATTACTCTGAATATATTCGAAATGTATGTTAAAACATATAAAATTGTAGTAAAAAGGACATAAACATTGGTAAATTCCGTATTATGAAAACACTTGAAAATACAACGAAAAACCGAGTTGTGCCGCTTCTGATGGAGTAGCAGAGTATCTTAAAGTGCATAGTTATGACAAATACTTACATGGAGCCCGTATTTATGCGTAAAAAAACTTAAAAACAGTTCCTAGCATGTAAGTCTTGGCACTCTCACAAAACAAACCAACCAAACTCACAATCTCGTATCACAGTCACAGCCGCTTCGATTCTGCATCTCCTTCCACTGTTCCACGTGCTCCAAGCGACATTGCTGCCACCCCACGTCTGGTTACGACGGCGTTGCCAAATGTACGGGAGAGTTTCCTTTTCTGGAGACCTAATAGATAATAGTGAACATATCTTTTCATACAGGCTTAGAAGTTGGAAAAACTACAGAAAAAATGAGTACGACCCAAAAGCAATAACCAAAAATATACACAACAGCACAGTAGCTTACAGTCTGCGAACGTCACCCATATAACCATATTCCGTCGCAATGTTTGTCGGTTGCGTAGCCTGCTGTTAATGAAAATTGATACCACTGATTAAAGTAAGACTACTTACAGGTAGACACCTGAAGATGCCAACCTAATGCTATATTCGGGGGTCTATAAAAATATCCGGGATAAAATGAGATACCGGAGCGTCATCTATGAGAATTTGGCTTTACTATTTCGCTATTTACTGTATATATATATATATATATATATGAGCAGTAGTCATTGCCAAAGCCAACGACCAGTTGGGTAAAAAGTACAATTAATTGTTAATTGGGAAATTGGCAAATCTTTTAGGCTTAAGTTGACTCTATTGACGATAAAATCAAGCTTTCGGCATTCTCTATGGAGCCTTCATCAGGATTCTGAAAACACAATAAATTGTGATGCTAGCAAAGAAAACAGGACAGATTTAAATTGTCAGACAACTTACTCGTCGGTGAGGTTGCAGCCACAAGGTGTTTCAAAACGAACGTAGAGAAGATCTAACTTATAATCAGTATAAAAACAAAATGATGGGGACATTGGGCTTGTTGAAAAGCGACAGATACCTTCGTTAAATGTTAAAAATATCAATCCACCCGAACAAGTTAAAAATATTACACGTGAGACGACATTTTGTTGAAACAATCGGAATGCAGTCTCTAACCTTCTACTTCCGCTACACGTGGAGAGGGGGACGGCACGGAAAGATAAAGCGTCGACAGATGACAAGTGATTGACGCGACGGACCGTGGAACTGTAAACCTCCCTGTCCAGCTTTGGGTATGAAGTAAACGAGGGACGCTCGGTAAACCTCCACCCAAAATTACTAAAATGCTGAATTAACTTGTTTTGGAAAAAAGTGTGTTGTTCATATGAGTGTAAGAATGTGTGATATTGATACAACCTTGAAAAGATGGGTTATGTGAGTTTATATTAAAAATGTGAGTGAGAAAATGTATTCTAATTTTGTGAAGATGTTGGTTCAATTTGGATATGTAGCCGTTCTAGCTTTTCGCAATATATATATATATATATATATATACAGGGTGACTTCGAAGTTGAGTCATTTATTTTAACAGTGAGTAGATCTGATCAAAAGAAATGTTTTTTTCCTTTACCATTTTCCTGGTAAAATTAAAGTAACAAAGTTATAGCCCTTTGGAAGTTTGAGTACCGCCCTGTCTCAATAACAATATTATGTGGTCGTGTTTGGCGACAATGGATATAATCCGCCGTATCGGTTCATCGCATCGGAAACAAAAAAGCGAAAGAATTTGGAACGATGTTTTTACAGGTATCTCATTCATTTATATACAGTTAGTGTCAGTGAATAGTGGTATGTGTTGCGTGGCTCAAACGAAATAAAAAATGGCACATGTTTATGCGGATCGGTTTCCCAATCGAGTGCAACCAACCCCTCGTGCCTTTGTTAATGTAGTACAACGGGCTTGTGAATCAGGTGACTTAAGACCTCACAGGGGACCTCACGATCAAATACAGGTCCGCACTGAAATACTTGTCGGGAGGATACTTTATAAAACAAGGTAAAAATTTTTTTTTATTTTTTTTTATTTTTACACACATATTTTGGTTTATCTTCCTTCTACAATTATTATCTGAAAATTAATGACTCAACTTCAAAGTCACCCTGTATATATATATATATATTCCAAAAAGGTTACTCTCTTATGGATAGTGCTCTAGTCACTTATATGCTTGTACATGCTCGTTGGAACAGCCAGTACAAATTTTAAATACGTTTTCTTTGAACCCACGAGCGGAAAAGCGACGATTTTGAATAAATATTGGCATTCTACTTAAGCTATTAAAAATTAAATTTTATCTAGGTAGAGAAGAAGAAGTTGAATATTGTAATTTCATTCAGGTATATTGACTTTTGATTCAACAACTCAGTAATTCTCGATATACAAATCGCTTTCTCACTCTTGTAGTATTGAAATTCCAATTTGATATATTGTTGTTAAAACATATACACTGAAAACAAATACCACTGATGTCGTAATGTGTACGAGCGGCAACGTCGCTCCACACGCGCCAATAACCGTCAAAGGCAAAAAATCACTATCCCCTTTTAGCGCGTAGTTTGAAAGTATTGATTATTCATGGTAACGTGCGGCTACCCGACGTCCTCGCCAAACTGTGGCGTAGACGAACTAGGGGCAGAAGGGTTTTAAAAGAATGAACAGCTAAAAACTAGTGTAGTAATACAATATTTGGTGTTAGTCGTGTAGACTTAACTGATCCATATTTGCGATCGTTGTAAAGCCTATTTACTCATAGCCCTAAGAGATGTATATCTATTGCTTCAGTGAACCAAGACAGTGGCGGCATCAGAGAAGGACACAGCGCCCGCATAACGAACCAATTTCAAGTGGAAAAGCAAAGATAACACCATTAACATCTATTCGTGTTCGTGGTCGATGACACGGCGATTTGAGATTACAGCATGCTGTTTTCACTTTCGAAGGGGTCGATTCTGGTAATAAATGGCACTTTGTGCTGTCTTATTTCAATAGATCTCTGATGATGGAATCGATGGCAATTGTAGCTAATCAGGCGAACAAATTCGAATAGCTTAAAAGAAGCCTAGCCTATTGCATTGTTTATCACCAAAATTGTATAATTTTGAAGCATAGGTATATTTTTGGTTAATTTGCCTACCATTGCATACCAAAGTGACACACTGCGTAACGGCGTACATTCTCTTCTCTGGAACGGACATTCAAGTAGCTTTTCTGACTGGGTGTTCGATGTGATGAAATCGCTCAGTTACTAACTGGGATTCATTAAATAAGGCAAGGAAACGAAAGTTCATATTTAATAACGGGTACAGCATCTGAACAATTCTGTTTAGTTCCTGATTTTGGAAGGTGAACAATATTTATTTAACAAATTAGGGACATCAAACAGAGAAAATCTCCAAAATAGACATCCACCGTGTAGTTAAACAAACTAAATTGTAAGGATTGATCTACATAATATAAAATATGAAACACTGTCTCCACCAAACAGCAACAATGACAGAATACCTGATATTGGAGATAGTGGGTCACGTTGCATAAATTTTACACTATTTTTCTTAATGGTACTCTTGATCCGAACAGATTCGTGGCGAAAAAAATACTTAGTTGAGCATAATATGGAAATTTTTGCTGTTACATCATTCTCATTGTATCCAGTACAAAGATTTGAAAGTATTTTAATTAATTTGATGTCCATATTTTTCAAAAGATTTGAACGTATTTTTATTAATTTGATATCCACACTTTTTGACATGCTGAGCTTCCTCCAAAGAATCTCGTGGCACTAAATTTACTACTTGTATTGCAGAACTTGATAAAACCTCGAAACTTTGTTGTCAAATCAAAAGCTAGCATTCGAACCTGTACATGATTTATTTTATGGGGTATGGTTATGTGCTTCAATAGTAGAGGTGATCACCTCTTGGTGTGCAGGTAAGGTGAAATGTTGATGCCTGGCCCATGATATTGTGAAACGCCAAGTATACCTCCTGTTACGTGTAGGTATCCATAAAATAAATGTACCCTGAAATGGCTTTCCTCCCATAAAGAAGGCAGAAAGAAATAAATGTAGATTAAAAGCGTCCCATGGAACAATGAGTATAACTTCCGATTCATTAATTTTCTATGAGTTTCATTTGTAGTACACGAAAAGTACGAGCCACGAACCTCGGCATTTTTTGTTTCCTTTCTTTCTTTTCTCAGCCATCTGCGCGCAATTCTTTTTAGACGTCGTACCCTGTTCCCGGAGCTTTTATTTTGTAGAGAGATCTGGAGAAACATTTAGACCAAATATAGTGAGCACAATGGATAATTAACAAGAATGTTGAATGGTGTAACAAATAAGTAATATTCGCATGTGCATTATTAATCTTTCTATAAAAGTCAGTTAGTTGGCAGGTATTAAAATCTAAAATTTAAGGAATATGTACCTAATAATTTTAATATGAATCTTGTCACCCTTGTGTTCATTCTTTTACATACTGTCATGTTTTTCAGCGTTATTTTAGTATGGTCACAGTTAGTGAAACTATGGTCTAAGTTCAAAAAGTACTAATTGTTGGGGTTTTGATGACACTTTGATACCAAGGTACCACTTTGGCAAAGGAACTACAGCTAAAGAGAAAGTTGGTTTCGAAAAGAATGTTTCAATTTGGAATGTTATCCTTTTTATAAAGGGTTTTTGATTAAGCGTGTCTGAAATTTAAAATTGAATGAAACGAGTTGTGTGCGACATATATGATGGAAACTTTAACTGCGTATTGAAGAACATTCAATACCATTACGTTATAAGAATTACATCATTCAAATGGCCTAAGCGGCTTTGTTTACAGGACTCAATCGGAGAGGTACAATTTTGTAAAACTCTGCCGCGTAAGTCGGGCTGGATCTCACAAATGGTTTGAATGGTGTTCTCCAGTTTGTGAATTGTTGTTAGTTTGTTGCCATAAACCAGCACCTTAGCGCAGCCCCAAATGAAAAAGACTAAGGCAACAGTAACAATATTCTCGCTTGACCACGCGTTTCTGCGACTTAAACTCCGGCTACACCTATAAGTATCACCACAGTCTTGCTTGTGCAAACGGGTTTGTAGCGTGTGGACGGTAAAACGGTAGCTCGCCCAAACCAAAAAGTGCGGCTTGTGTGAAAGTCGCACTGCTGAAAGTTTTACTTGGGCAAACCTGTTTATGCAGTTAAGCTTGTACATGTAGACGGCGTGCTGGTAAAAGGGACTTGCGTACTTTTTCTAA